TAATTGTGGTGAAGAGAGAAAAAAGTTCCCTCGCCTGGGTGTTATTTTAAAAAAGGTTGTGATTTAGAGGGAGAAAATATCCTTCAGATGTCAAATAAGCCTCAGGGTCTCTTTTGCCCCTTATCCACCCTGCGTCCTCTCCTATTCACAGTGGAAGAGACCCGGATTGCCAGCTCTTAAATGGGGCAGAACATTCTCTTTTAGGATTGTAAAGTAAAACTTTTAAGGTTTCATGGATGTTTTGTTTCTGTGGGAACTGTATGAAAGCCCATAATCTTCTGGAGTGGGTTTTTTTTTTTGAAAAACGTTTCAATCCATTGTGCAGCCTTAATAAAAGTATTTCCACTATCCTGCAGCATGTTCCAATATCTCAGGGGCTGCCACAAAGAAGAGGGAGTCAAGCTATTCTCCAAGGCGCCTAAAGGCAGGACAAGAAGCAACGGGTGGAAACTAACCAAGGAGAGAAGCAACCTAGAACTGAGGAGAAATTTTCTGACAGTTAGAACAGTTAACCAGTGGAACCACCTGCCTCCAGAAGTGGTGAATGCTCCAACACTGGAGGTTTTTAAGAAGAGACTGTCCATAATCTTCTGGAGTGGGATTTTTTTTTTTTTTGAAAAACGTTTCAATCCATTGTGCAGCCTTAATAAAAGCATTTCCACTATCCTGCAGCATGTTGTTAATTTCTCCAGAGTGCATTTTGCATTGTTCACCAGTGGTGAACAATGACTTCCTGGGCTGAAAGGGAATCATAGTTTAAGGTCCCCCCTCTGACTCCGGGGCAGTGAAGCCCCAAAGCATCATGGCAGCTCCCAGCCTTTTTGAACAGAGCAGATCCCCCCCCCGCTCTCCCTTCCACCCCCCTCGACCCACTCTCCCCCCCCCAGGGAAGTCGAGACTGAAATATTTTGCAGCTATACTTGCTTTGTAAAGGAAATGGGATGAAATGCTTTCATGAGACTGGAACAAGAAGGAATTCCAGGAAGGAAAGTGAAATTCTGGCTGAGTTATGAGAAGAGGGGAAAGCAATGTTGATGGGACATGAAGACAACTAAATTGGAAATTATGTTTGCTTAAATGTGTGCTGGGGGGAGAGGAAGAGGAGGAGAAGACCCCCTCCTCGCAGGGACGGGGGGGGGGGGTTCCCCTTCTGCGCTCCTGGCTCTTTCCCACTCCCTCCCTCCGGGGATTCACCGGTAATCCGCCTCCTTCCGTTCTCTCCGGAGCATCTGCCCAGCTGCCCTTCCAGGATCTTCGGAATCCGGAAGGGATCTTCCCGGGGCTTCTTCCCGACCTTCCTCCTGGCTATCCCCGCCCCCGCCTCTCCCCCTCCCACTCGCTGCGTCCCCGCTTTCCTCCGTGTGTCCTGCTTCGCCCCGGCAGGATCGGCGCTGGATCCCTCGGGAGAGGCTTCTGGATCCCGTTCCGGACAGGTCTGGCTGCTTTCCCTCCGGCCTTTGGGGCGCCCCTCCCGCCAGGAGAGCCTTTCCCCCCCCCCCGCCAGGAGAAAGGTAGCTGCGGATCCGCCTCTTCGGCTTGCCGGGTTTTCCTTGGGGAGATTCGGCTCTGGCGTCGCCTGCAGGGAGTGGATCCCTCCCTTCCCTCCAGGGGGGCAAAGGGGGTCCCTCCTTCCCCGGGCTGGATCTGCCCCCTCCTCGCCCGGCCCAGGATCCCCGTGGGGCTCCGGGTGGATCCGGGAAGGGGCTTTTGGGGAAGTTGCTCTAGTCTAGAAGGTCTCTCTGTGGTCCGTCAGAGCACGAGGTCTCCGAGCATGCACATCCCGCAAGTGCAGTTGCAAAAATGGAGTAAACGGAGCTTTGTAATGAGGTATTAACACACACTGACCTCATTGCGACGGGGAGGGGAGACTTTGGGGAAAAGAAAAGGTTTAAAGGATTTGAATTGAGCTCATGTTTTCTTAAACCCTCCCCCCCCAAGAGATCCTCTTTCTTTTAGCTCAATGTAAAAAGCTGAAAATAAAGTCCTTTGTTTTGAGGCTAATGTTTACTTTGCTTCCGATTTAAAAAGCTTTTTTTTTTTTTTTGCCTAGAAGAGGCTGTGATGTGGCAGCCCCTTGGTGGATATTTTACAAAGCACCAAGGAAGTGTGGGAAGAATCCAGAGATAGAAATACTTTGGGGAATATTAAAAAGGCAGAATATGTTTCCCTGGAAAGAATAATGGAGATCTTAAAAAAGACAGAAATTAGCCCCAGTCCCTAAGCAGAGGCCAGCTTTTAGAAATGCAAATTCAATAATCCTTTCAAAAAGGTTGGAGCCTTCCAGCTAGAAACTGAAGAGATTAGGAAGACAAAGAGACCTACAATCTACATATCCCCACCTACATTCTAAGGACAGGAAATATAATAGGATTAACGACCAAAAGGACACAGTCAGACTCAGGTCAAAGTACATGACACAGGAAATATAAAGCCTCAGACAGGAAGAACTGCAAATACAAAGCCCAAAGGAGGTATAAAAACCCACCAATCCCAGCTACATGTTGGTCAGCTTTTCCCAGAGCCATCTTTCTGTCTGGCTCTCCTCTTCAATAAACTACAATCTTCTTTCTTAAGCAGTCTCCATGTTTGTCCCTTCCCGGCTTGGACTGGACCCTGGTGAAGATTTTTCCTTCAACAGAAGTTTTGAGGCTGGTCTTGTGAGCAGGTAATAAAACAAGCCGATGGCCAAAAGGCTGCTTTTCCTAATTGTAAATATTTTTCGAAATGCCTGCCTGGAATTTTTGTGGCCCTTGCAGCCTCCATAAAGAGCAGGAAAGAGCAGCCCTTTCCACACATGCTCTGCCCCATCTGATCTCTCTCATATTTCATTGAGTTTTCCTACTCACAACTCTGCCTTGGTCCCTGTTGGACTTCATCTTGCTGGTTTCTTCCATTTTGGCTCATCAAGATCTTCTTGAATCAGGATTCTATATCCATTATTTTGTATCCTCAGCAAATAATTCCATATTCTCCTCCCTTTTCTTTTGCAGATTATATTCAGATTACTGTCGGCATCTGAGCCTTTCTCATTTCTCTTTGCAGGAAACCAGTGAGGACGTGGCCGTGAGCTCCACAGAGGAGAAGGGGTGTTCTTGGATCGGGACCCACCAACTTTTGGCCGGGACTCCATTCTAGAGAATTTGGAAATCGTGGCCCAGTTGGAGAAGCAGCTTCCTGCACAAAGGGCGAATGGATTTTGGAGAAATCAAACCAGTCAGCAGTGAGGGTCGTTCCTAGCCTTGAATCAGAGGTGTAATAAATGTACCAGAAACCTCTTAGCTGTAAATTTAAAGGTGAGTAAACAAATCTTGGTTTGGAGAATAAACATATTTTTTAAATCTTTATTTGACAAAACAGCAGTGCACAGAAATTGTGTTTCACTCCCAAGTTGCTGGATGAAGGCTTAATGTAGTTCCATTCAGGACTACGTGTTCCATGTGGTTGGTCAGCCAGTTATGAATCCATCTGGTGATGATGCTGTATATCCCACATTTTTCTATCTTATCAAGAAGTGTGCTGTGGTCTGCTTTGTCACATGCCCTACTGAAATCCCAGTATATTAGGTCGATGGAATTTAGCTGTTCCACTATTTTAGTCACTTTTTCAAAGAATACAATAAGGTTTGTCTACTAGCGTGATCTGCTTTTGACAAACCCATGTTGGCTTCTAGTAATAGCTTTCTTTCTAGACTTTCGCAGTTTCCTTGTTTGATTATCTTTTCCAGGATCTTCCCAGGTATTGATGTCAGGCTGATTGGTCTATAATTTCCTGGATTCATTTTTTTCCTTTTCGTAGTATTTTATAAAATGTATAAAATGCATCACGAAGTGAGGATCGAGACATCATGATGGGATGGAGCTCAGTAATGCAACAATCAGAAAAAGCAAGAACAGGGGATCAGAAATTGATTGCTTACACTGACCCGAACTCTCTTCCCTCCTCCCTTGCTTATGCGACGCCTTAGTTTTGGGGATTCCCTATAGATACTCCTCATATTATGACCACAATTTTGACCAGAATCTCAGTCTTTGAGAGAAGCGGTCATTAAGTGAGATGTCACATGACCGCTTTGCTCAATGACTGCAATCCTGCCCTCATGGTGATGGATGTTAAGCTACTTCACAAGCAGACAAAGTCCCAGTTAAGGAATGTGGGGTTGCCTGAAGTGGGCAGTGGAGGCCCTGTGAGATCTGGCACAGGAAATGTGGAAGTTGGGGGGGCCCTGAAGAAGATTAGAGATGCTTTGGGACACGTTGCTTAGCAACAGTATGGAACAGGCGGCTTGGAGAATGGCGCAAGGCTGCAAAAGCTTCCAGGCCTCATTTCTCTGTGGCAGCAGAGACAGTGGGCTGAAGTCCAGGCCTGGGGTCATTGGCAGATGGATGACACTACTGAAGGCCCCAGGCCTCCCGTTAAGGCCCAGTCTCAGCATTGTTGTCAATTAATGCTGCTTTGCATGGCCGTGCTGGGACGGCTCAGGCTTCCAGGAGTGGCTGCAGCGTTGCATCCCACTTCAGCACACACCCCCAACTCATGGGTGGCCTATGCCTGGTCTCTATTACCTCCCCCACCCCTGAGACTCCCCTAACAACAGTTGCCTGAGCCTCCCTCCATTTAAGAACCCTCAAGATCACTTCATAATTGCAACCATGAGTCTGGGATTATAGTTGTGGATCCAAGAGGTCATGTGACTGCTCACCTAACCACTGCTTCACTGAACGACCGAAATTCCAGTCCTGACTGTGGTCATAAGTTGAAGACATCTCTCCTAGAGATGTAGGGGTCAGTTGTACTGAGCAGCCTACATGGGGCAAAGGGTCACACTGGAATACTTTCAAGGTCCCTTGAAAGATTTTGTGATTCTCTAGATGTCTCAAAAGGAGATATTACTCTTCACTTCTTTCTCCTTCTAACAGGGGATAAAAGATTGTGAGCAAAGATTCATCTGCAAGCCAACTATCAACAGATAATAGAAAACTGGCACAAGGCAGCAGTCACCAAAAAGCATGGAGAGTGGGAAGCTCTTGGATCCCCCGTCAGACACAAGCAGCACTCTGAAAAACCACCAAGGAACCCATGAATGCTCAGAGTGTGGGAAAGCCTTTGCTCGCTGGTCCCTCCTTTTGACCCACTGGAAGGTCCATGTGGGAAGCGGATCCAGTCAAGAATTGGAGGGTGAGAAATCCTTTTTTGGAAAAGGTGCCAAAGATCTCAGAAACCCCCCCAGATTAAAACCCCATAAATGTGAGGAATGTGATTTATGCTTTGGTCAAAAGTCAAACCTTCTTAGGCATCAGAAAATCCACACCGGAGAGAAACCTTATCAATGTCTGGAATGTGGGAAATGTTTCCGTGAAAAAACCTATCTCAGAGACCACGAGAGAATTCACACAGGGGAGAAACCTTACGAGTGTTGGGAATGTGGGAAGAGCTTTCCTCGGAAGTCAGATCTTTGGCACCATGAGAAGATTCATACAGGAATAAAATCTTACAAATGCTTTGAGTGTGGAAAATGTTTCACCGACAATTCAACTCTTCGGAAGCATTTGAAAACACACAGAGGGGAGAAAAACGAAAAGTGCCCTGAATGTGGGAAATGTTTTGCCTTGAAATCACACCTGGTGCAACATCAGAGACGTCACACGGGAGAGAGACCCCATGAATGCCCAGAATGTGAGAAACGATTTATGTATTCTTCTGAACTTCAGAGACACCAGAAGAGTCACAAAGAGGAGAAACCCTATCAATGTGGGGAGTGTGGGAAAGGTTTTGTTACTCAAACAGCGTTTCAGGTTCATGAGAGAACCCACACGGGGGAGAAACCGTTCAAATGTGGGGAGTGTGGGAAATGCTTTACCCAAAAACACCACCTTGCAACACACCAGAGGCTCCACACAGGAGAGAAGCCATACAAATGCCCAGAATGTGGGAAATCTTTTGCTTATAAGGATGTACTTTGGAAACATCATAAAACCCACACAGGGGAGAAGCCCTATGAATGCAATGAATGTGGAAGATTTTATCGTACCACATCAGCCCTTTGGAGACATGTGAAAATTCACACAGAGGAAAAAAACTACAAATGTTTAGACTGTGGGAGAGCTTTTGTTCTTTCATCTCACCTTAAACGTCACAGCCGAATGCATACAGGAGAGAAGCCCCATAAATGCTCGGAGTGCAATAAATATTTTTCTCACAAACAAACTCTTGTGAGACATCAGAGAATCCACACTGGAGAAAAACCATATAAATGTCTGGAGTGTGGGAAATGTTTTGCCCAGTCTTCATCACTTCACAAGCACACCAGAAATCACACAGGAGGGTGGCCTTACGAGTGTGCAGAAAATGAGAAACCTTTTCAGTGTAAATCGAAGCTAAAAATACATCAGGAAGTCCATAACGGAGATATATCTCTTCTGTCATAAACAATGTGGGGAACACCTTTTTCAAAAGTCACACCTTACCATTCATCAGGAACTTCACACAGTGACAGAAGGGAAACTCTACAATTGTTTGGCATGGGGAAAATGTTTTTCCGAGTCACAGTGTCTTAAATACCATCAGAGAGTACACAATAAAGCAAAAGGGCATTAAGTGTTGGGAGTGTGAGAAGGGTTTGGCTCACAAAGCAGCAACATTAGTAGACATTACACAAGAGAAAAGAGTTACAAGTGTTGGGGAGGGTAGATTATGTTTTGCAGAGTGCTGCTAGTCCTCGACCTATGGTGGAATTGGGAACAGATTTGTGGTTGTAGCATTTATACAGTCATCCATTGAGGTACCCATATGATTGGATATGATTTTAAGACATTTTTGTGGTCATTAAACAAGTCTCTGCAGTCTTAAGTCTAAACATACTCTTTCAAGTTTGCACATTCTTCAGAAAACTGACAAAAAAAGTTGCACATTGTGATCCCATGGCTGCAAGATCATGGAACTGGTCATAAAAGGGAACCGGTTGCCAAGTGCCTATAATTTAATTACCTAACCTTGAAGAACAAACAAAATCTTACCATGGCCAGAATTGCTTTATGAGCCATCGACACTTGTCGCCATTTTGAACAGTTGTTAAGTGATGTCATAACTCGAGGACTGCCTGTAATGAAACCTTTGATAAACTCTGAAACATTCTAAAAAAGGGGGGCATTGTTGAAATGCTTGAAATATTGCAAAGTACTGACCTCACTGAGACCTGTGGAGGCCCCAAAGGATTCACAAGAAAAAGAAATTGTGCATTTGGTGTCTGGAAAATATTTTTCTGGAATGTCTACCTGGGTCTGCAGGTAAAAACGCCCTGAAGAGAAACCCTCCAGGTGCTCGGACTACTGGACACTCTTTCCGGGTGACAGACCGCATCAGAGCTTGGTGTGTGGAAAATCTGTTCCTTGAAATGAGACAATTGTCATAACATTTGTAAGTTCTCACTGAGAAGAACCCTAGAAATGTTTGTAGTATAGAAAACGTTTTATCCTGAAGTCTTTTAAAAAAACAGACAGCCGTTCATAATTGTGATACAGTGAGAAAAAAAGTTACCCTTATCCACCCCCTCGTATTCCCAGTGGAAAAGACCCCAAGAAACCCGGGTCGCCAGCTATGAACTGGGTCAGGAAATCCTCTTTCAGGATTCTAAAGTATAACTTTTAAGGTTTCATAGATCTTTTGCTTCTCTGGGAACTGTATGGAACCGTATGTTCCACTGGGAATGCGAGAGGGTGGATAAGGGGGCAAAAAAGATCCTGAGGCTTAAGTGGTATCTGGAGGATATTTTCTCCCTCTAGATCAGAACCTTATTTTAATAACACCCAGGCGAGGGATTTTTTTTTCCACCCTTTACCACAAAATCACTTCAGTCCATCGTGCAGCCTGAATAAAATCATTTATACTATCCTAGAGCCTCTTGTTAATTTGTCTGGAGTGCACGTTTCCCACATTATTTACCACAATGGTGAATAGTGTTAAGGGAAAGTTAGCTCACTTCCTGGGCGGAAAGGGAATCATAGTTTAAAGTCGCCTTCTGATTCTGGGGCAGCAAAGTCCCAAAGCATCATGGCAGCTCCCAGCCTCTTTGGACTTAGCAGACCCTCCTCGCCTCTCCTTCTCCGCCCCCAGGGAAGTTGTGACTGAAATATTTTGCAGCTATATTTGCTTTGTAAGCAAAATGAAGGAAATGTCTAGGGCAGAGGCTTTTTATGTGACTAATGATAAGGAATTCCAGAAGGAAGGTGAAATACTAGCTGAGTTATGAGTAGAAGTGAGGAAGGACGTGTTAACCGAAGGCAAGAAACTTGGAAATTATGGTTTCTTAAATTTGACAGTGCCCATCCTTGCATTCAGGCGGAGGTGGAGGAGACCCCCTCCCAGACACCAAGGTGGGAGATCTATAGGTTAGGAAAGGCAATGGGGGCAGGTAAAAGGCATTTTGGGACTCTTCTGCATCCTCCCCTCCATGGAGGCCTCCCCGGGGAAGAGACCCTAGGCCAGCCCCCCCTCTCCATCCTCAGTCAGGATCCATGAACACCCAGCTGAAGAAGACCCCTCCTCACACAGGATGGGGGTGTTTCTGTTGCTCCTGGTCTTTCCTATTTCTTCCCTCCATGGATTCAGTGGGGAGCTGCCTCCATCTGCTCTCTCTGAAGCAACTGCCCAGCTGCACTTCCAGGATCTTTAGGATCCAGAAGGGATCTGCTCAGGGCTTCTTCCCGACTCTTCCCCTGGTGCCCCCCCCAATCTTGGCTGCACAGAAAACTGCCCCCTTTCTCTTTCCACCCTGTCTCAGCTGCTGAGGGGGACCCCAGACCATCTGGAGACTAGAAGCCCTACCCCTCACCTCTAGCTTCACACTCGCTGTGACCAAACCTGGATGCAGTATTCCAAGTGTGTATGTATGTATGTAATATATACATACATACACACTTGTAATATATAGTATATGTATATAATATATACAAACTTGCCATCTGTATCCTGAAAAACCCACAGGGCAGCGGCAATTCGCACCTCTTTTTGTGGAAGTTTCCAGAAGTGGGGGGTCCCCACCAAGAAGGCCCTGTGTGGTGGAAACAGCCATGAAAAAGGAGCTGCTTTCCAGGTGAAGCAGCAGTTCCCAAACAATTCATGAGAAAGCCAACCTATCTGATTCTGTCAGAGGTTTTCAACTTTGGCAACTTTAAGATGCGTGGACTTCAATTCCCAGCATGCTCCCTGGGGATATTCTGGGGGTTTAGTCGACACATCTTAAAAGTTACCAAGATTTTTTTAAAAAAAACCTGTTTCTATGAAGAGACCCCCTTGCCCCACCTCCCCCATTCAATTCTTTCTAACTGAGTGTTGCTGGTTATGCCCCAGAAGGGCCTTTCCCAATCTGGTGATCTGCAGATGTGGGAGTCAAAGTCCCAAACATCTGGAGGACAGCAGCTGGGGCAAGGTGGCCAGAGGGGGGGTCTCCTGGCTCTCATTAGACTGACCTGCTTTGCCTTCCGGTTCTTCCTTAAACCCGGGTGCTGCTCTAAATGCTCCTCATTGTTTTTGTATCTCAGAAAGAGAAATATTTTGGACTGCAGAGTAAATAAAATTACATTCTACACACAGCAGCTTAACGTTGTGATTCTTGGGTTGTGGGTCCAGTGATGGTCTTGCCACAAGGAGTCTTTTTAGCATTCACTAAATCAATGGTTCTCAACCTTTTTAATGCCGCGACCCCAACTGGTCGTAAGTTGGGGACTAAACCGGTCATAAGTCGAGGACTAAACCGGTTGTAAGTCGAGGACTAAACCGGTCGTAAGTCGAGGACTACCCAACCGGTCGTAAGTCGAGGACTTTCCCTGCCCGGGAGCACTGCGCATGCGTGGTTCTGCCCCCTGCGCCGGCCGAGGCGTAGCTGGCAAGCGGCAGAGACGGAGCAGGCCAACCACCAGCTGGCCCAGCCCAAGGGAGGTAAGACACCCGCCGGAAAAGGGAAAAAATGGTGGACAAAAAAAATGACGGACAGCCTTGCTTGGCGACTCCCGTGAAATAGTCAATCGACCCCAAATGGGGTCGCGACCCACAGGTTGAGAACCACTGCACTAAATGGAATCCTCCAGAGGTGAGTTAGGCTGGATTTCTGCTCCCATAACGTCTTGACGGCTGGACTTGATGGGAATTGTGATCCAACAACTCTGCAGCCTCCAGGCAGGTGAGCTGCTCTGAAGGCATCCAAAGGTTACATTTGATAATGGCTGGAGCTTGTGAACAGTCCAAATAAGCTTAATATATATTCAAAAGTTCAGATATCCTTAAGAGGCCCAAATCAACATTAAGTGTCAAGGGAGGGGTGGGGTAGAGAATAAGAAGGGGGGGTCCCCTCAGGGCCCTACAAACAGTTTATAAGTCACTGTGTGAAAAGGGACACCCCGAAGCCCAGCAGTGGCTCAAGTGTTTTTAACCCTTGGGAAGGAAGCAGGGACCCAGTATCCCCAGCGCCTCTCTCCTATTCTGGGCAGAAGGGAGGGGAAGGCAGAGGGGGCGGTTGGGGGGGTCCTGGGTGGACTCTCCTTTGCCCCCCCCCCCGTCTGTTCTCTCCTGGGCTCCTGCGCCGCTGGAGTTGGAGATCTTCGGGATCCAGAAGGGATCCGCTCGGGGCTTCTTCCCGTTCCTCCCCCAGGCGCTTCCCCCAACCTCGGCTGCAGGGAAGACCCTGCCCCGCTTCTCCTTCCCTCCCGTCTCGGCCGCGGAGGGGACCCCGGGAGGGAGGGAGGGAGGGAGGGGGAGGAGAGGGGAGGAGGCTGGCAAGAGGCGGGGCTGCAAGGCGGAAGGCGGAGCCCGAGAGGAGATTAGAAGCCCCGCCCCCGCCTCTCTCCTTCCACTCGCTGGATCTCCGCTTCTCTCCGCGTGACTCATTTTGCCCTGGGAGGATCGGCGCTGGATCCCTCGGGAGAGACTTCTGGATCCCGTTCCGGACAGGTCTGGCTGCTCTCCCTCCGGCCTTTGGGGCGCCCCTCCCGCCAGGAGAGCTTCCCCCCCCCCCCGCCAAGAGAAAGGTAGCTGCGGATCCGCCTCTCCGGCTTGCAGGTTTTCCTTGGGGAGATTCGGCTCTGGCGTCGCCTGCAGGGAGTGGATCCCTCCCTTCCCTCCAGGGGGGCAAAGGGGGTCCCTCCCTCCCCGGGCTGGATCTGACCCCTCCCCGCCCGGCCCAGGATCCCCGTGGGGCTCCGGGTGGATCCGGGAAGGAGCTTTTGGGGAAGTTGCTCCAGGTCTGTCTTCGGTCCGTCAGAGCAAAGAGGTCTCCGAGCATGCATATCCTCGCACGTGCAGTTGCAAAAATGGAGTAAGCGGAGCTTTAAAACATTTATTGCGATTGGTAATGTGGTATTAACGCAACTGATCTCAATGCAACGGGGAGGGGAGGGTTTGGGGGAAAAAAAACAAGTTTAAATTAACTGAATTGAGCTCAGGTTGTCTTAGCCCACATGAGATCCTCTTTTTTGTGCTCAGCTTAAAAGGCCAGGAAGAAAACCCTTTGTTTTTATGCAAATGAGTACCTTGCTCCTGCTTTTAAAAACTGGGTGGAATCCCTAAAAAGCATTTCCCCCCCTTTTTTTTTGCCCTGAGGAGGCTGTGATGAGACAGCCCCTTCTTGGTGGATGTTTTACAAAGCATACAAAGTTTTAAGGAAGTTTTGAGGCTGGTCTTGTAAAGCAGGTAATAGAACAAGCTGATGGCTAGAGAAGGCTGCCTTGCATAATTTTAAATATTTTTCAAAATACCTATCCGAGGCAGCTCCAGAGACCTGAAATCTTTGTGGCCTTGCATCCTCCAAAAAACATAAGAAAGAGCAGCACTTTTCACACATGCTCTGTCCCATCTGATCTCTCTCATTTTCCACTGAGTTTTTCCTACTCACAACCATGCCTTGGTCCCTGTTGGACTTCATCTTGCTGGTTTCTTCCATTTTGGCTCATTAAGATCTTCTTGAATCACGATTCTGTCTCCATTATTTTGTACTGTGGAGAAATAATCCTATTTTCTCCTCCCTCTTCCAGGTCATTTATAACTTATGTTCAGCATTGCTGTCGGCATCTGAGCCTTTTTCATTTCTCTTTGCAGAAGACCAGTGAAGATGTGGCCATGAGCTCCGCAGAGGAGAAGGGGCATTCTTGGATCGGGACCCGCCAACTCCATTCTAGAGAATTTGGAAATCGAGGCCTAGTTGGAGAAGCAGCTTCCTGCACAAAGGGCCAATCGGTCAGACTCAATCAGACCGGTCAGCGGTGAGGATCATATCTGGCCTTGATTCAGAGCGGTAACGAGTGACCCAGAGACCTCTTAGCTGCAACTTTAAAAGTGAGTAAACATATAATAATAATAATAAAGTTGGAAAGGACCTTGGAGGTCATCTAGTCCAACCCCCTGCTCTTTCATTTTCTATCTTTCATTTCACTTTGGGGAAGCTCTCTGTAGCTTTATTTTCTCTGATCAGCAAAAGGTCCTTTTACGAGTGGCTGGGCTGTTGCACCTGACTCCCTCTTCTTTGGGGCAGCCCCTGAGATACTGGAAGGCTGCTATCATGTCCCCCCTCGTCCTTCTCTTCATTAGACTAGACATACCCAATTCCAGCAGCCTTTCCTTATATGCTTTAGCCTCCAGTCCCCTAATGATCTTTGTTGCTCTTCTCTGTACTCTTTCTAGAGTCTCAGCACAATCAGGGCCAACCAAAACACTGTGTGTGTTTTGTGTGGCTGTGTGTGTGTGTGTGTTTGTGTATTGGAAAGAGGACTTCAGTCAGGGCACCCGAAAAGAGACTCAACCCCAGAAGATCAAACAGGAAAAAGGAGGAAAGGGAAACGGCTCAGATTTGGCATTTCATCCTTCTGCAGGCGCAACAGCCCAGCCACTCGTAAAAGGACCTTTGCTGATCAGAGAAAATAAACCTACAGAGACCTTCCCCAAAGTGAAATGAAAGATACATTTACTCACCCTTAAAGTTGCAGCTTGGAGAATGGCGCAAGGCTGCAAAGGCCATTGGTCTGGGGCTGGAGGTCGCATTTCTCGCTGGCAGTGGTGGAGCTGGGCTGGGTTGGGGTCAGTGCAGCTGGCTGAAACGTCTCATCCATTTGAGTATATTCTATTATAAAACATACAGGCATCTTTATTGCATTCATCAGTGAAGTTTTAGCTTATATGTGTCTTAATCACCTTTACAAAACCTTTATACACAAATCAACATTCAAATTTAATTGCTAGTGTTTTATATTTCTAAATTTTACTTGATCAAAGTTTTCTTTATCTCAACTCATCACAACTCATCCTTTGGGAGATGTTGCTTAGATAAGGTATGGAAGATGCGGCTTGGAAAATGGCGCAAGGCTGCAAAGGCCGTTGATCTGGGGCTGGAGGTCGCATTTCTCGCTGGCAGTGGTGGAGCTGGGCTGGGGTCAGTGCAGCTGGCTGAAATGGCTGAAGTCCCCCCCCCGTGTCCACATAAGGGCCAGCTCTAGCCCCAGTACTGCGGTCAGTCAGGACTTCTTTGCGTGGCCAGGCTGAGGCGGCTCAAGCTTCCAGGGGGGGCTACAGCTTTGCCTCCCCCTTCAGCAGACCCGAACTCATAGGTGGCCTATGCCAGGTCCCCAGGACCTCCCCCCACCCCGGAGCACCCCCAGAGCCTTTGCCAGGGCTGACCTCCACTTAGCAACCCTCAGGATCACTTAATGGGCACTATCAGGAGTGTGCATTAAGGTCCTTGAACCAAGTGGTCTCTCACCTCACTTAGTAGCTGCTTCATTGAATGACCAAGATTCCAGTGGTCATAGGTTGAGGACTGCCTCTACTTTCAGACCTTCTTCCCCTTGTCTTAGGACAAGAAAGAAGGAGGGAAGATCAGAGTCGATGAACAGCAGAAGAGTTTTCCTTCCTAGAGATGTCAGGGCTCCATCGTGGGTGTACTGAGTGCCCATGTCCTGCTCAGGGTGGGACTGGAAGACCTTCATGGTCTCTTTCAAGTCTAAGATTTTGTGACTCTCTACCACTCTCAAAAGGAAATATTATTCTCATCTTCTTTTTCGTTCCACCAGCAGAAAAATAAATGTGACCTGCAAGCCAACTATCAACAGATAGTAGAAAATCAGCACAGGGCAGCAGCTACTAGAAAGGATGGAGCCTGGGAAACTCTCGGATCCCCCATCAGACACAGGCAGCACTCCGGAAAACCACGAAGGAAGCCATGAATGCTCAGAGTGTGGGAAATCCTTTCCTCGGCAGTCTCTCCTTTTGACCCACAGGAAGGTCCATGTGGGAAGTGGATCCAGTCAAGGTTTGGAGGGTGAGAAATCCTTCTCTGGAAAAAAACCCAAAGATCTCAGATGCCCCCCCAGACTAAAACCTTTTAAATGTGAGGAATGTGACTTATGCTTTGGTCGAAAGCCACAGCTTTTTAGACATCAGAAAATCCACACTGGAGAGAAACCTTATCAGTGTCTGGAATGTGGGATTTTTTTCCGTGAAAAAGCCACCCTCAGAGACCACGAGAGAATTCACACAGGGGAGAAACCTTACGAGTGTTGGGAATGTGGGAGGAGCTTTTCTCGGAAGTCATATCTTTGGATCCATGGGAAGATTCATGCAGGAATAAAATCTTACAAATGTTTTGAGTGTGGAAAATGTTTCACCCTGAGTAAATATCTTCACAAGCATGAGAAAACACACAGAGGGCAGAAAAGCGAAAAGTGCCTCGAATGTGGGAAATGTTTTTACTACAAATCACACCTGGTGAAACATCAGAGAATTCACACCAGAGAAAAACCCTATGAATGCCCAGAATGTGAGAGACGATTTGTTAATTCTTATGGGCTTCGGACACACCAGAAGAGGCACAAAGGGGAGAAACCCTATCAATGTAGGGAGTGTGGGAAAAGTTTTGTTACACAAAGTGAGGTTCAGATTCATGAAAGAATCCACACAGGGGAGAAGCCATACCAATGTGGGGAGTGTGGGAAATGCTTTTCCCAAAAACACCACCTTGGAATCCATCAGAGGGTCCACACAGGAGAGAAGCCGTACAGATGCACAGAATGTGGGAAATCTTTTGCTCAAAGTGGGGATCTTTGGACACATCATAAAACACACACAGGGGAGAAGCCACATCAATGCAACGAATGTGGAAAATTTTATCGTACCACATCAACCCTTTGGAATCATGTGAAAATTCACACAGGGGAAAAAAACTACAAATGTTTAGACTGTGGGAGAACATTTGCTCAATCATGTCACCTCAGAAGCCACAGCCGAATCCATACAGGAGAGAAGCCCCATAAATGTTCCGAGTGCGATAAATGTTTTTCTCGGAAAGATACTCTTGTGATGCATCAGCGAATCCACACTGGAGAGAAACCATACAAATGTCTGGAGTGTGGAAAATGCTTTTCCCAAAAAAACCACCTTGAAACCCATCAGAGGGTCCACACAGGAGAGAAGCCGTACAGATGCATAGAATGTGGACGATTCTATCGTACCTCAACCGCCTTTAAAAGTCATATGAAAATTCACACAGGGGAAAAAAACTACAAATGTTTAGATTGTCGGAGAACATTTGCTCAATCATGTCACCTCAGAAGCCACAGCCGAATCCATACAGGAGAGAAGCCCCATAAATGTTCCGAGTGCGATAAATGTTTTTCTCGGAAAGATACTCTTGTGATGCATCAGCGAATCCACACTGGAGAGAAACGATACAAATGACTGCAGTGTTGGTATATGTTTTGCCCATCCTTCATCACTTCACATGCACACCAGAAATCACACAGGATAGTGGCCTTATAAGTGTGCAGAGTGCGAAAAACCTTTTTCATTGTAAATCAGAGTTAAAAATGCATCAGAATGTCCATTGCAGAAATAAACCTCTTCTGTTGTGAAAAAAATGATTTTTTTTTTCAAAAGTCACATCTTAACGTTAACCAGGAACATCACACAGTGACAGAAGGGAAATCGTACTATTGTTTAGTGTGGCGAAAATGTTTTTCTTACTCAAGTAAATACCATAATCGAGGAAAACTACATAAATGTTGGGAGTGTTAGAAAGTTTGACACACAAAACAGCAGCGCTAGTACCTTAACAGAGTGATTAGACGAGAAAAGAGCTATAAGTGATGAGCAGAGTAGATAATGTTTTGCAGAGTGCAGCTGGTCTCGACTTACAGTCGCAATTAGGAACAGATTTCCGGTCATAAGTTGTTACGGTTGTTAGTCGAGGCACCCATATATATCGAAGCTGATTTTCTGACATATTTCTGGTTGTATTCTTTAATCTTTAATCTCTCTAGATTGAGAGCAAAGTCTAGCTGAANTAATGCTCACTCTGCCAAACATCTTCAACAACTTATGGACTGTTTTAGTAAGGCCTGCCAAGACTTTGGTCTAACAATCAGCCTGAGAAAGACACAAGTCATGGGTCAGGATGTGGATCCACCTCCCTGTATTACAATCTCTGCACAGGAACTGGAAGTTGTCCATGACTTTGTGTACCTCGGCTCAACTATCTCAGACACTCTCTCTTTAGATACTGAGCTGAATAAACGTATTGGTAAAGCGGCCACCACATTTTCTAGACTTACAAAGAGAATGTGGCTTAATAAGAAATTGACAGAACATACAAAGATCCATTTCTATAGAGCCTGCATCTTGAGCACACTCTTGTACCGCAGTGAGTCTTGGACTCTTAACGCACGGCAGGAGAGAAAGCTGAACACTTTTCATATACACGGCCTATGATGTATTCTCGGCATCACCTGGCATGACAAAGTCCCAAATACCATAGTCTCTCGAGACCGAAGGATGCCAATGGATCTGGTCATTAATCAAGTCACTGTAGTCCTAAACATAAAGCCATTCCTCCAAATGTGTGTTTTTTTGATAAAAAGTGGCAAAAAGAATGCCAGGAACTAGCATAAAAAAACAATTGGGATCCCACGGCTGCAGGATCACGCAAGTGGTCTTAAAAGCCATCCGGTTGCCAAGTGCCCATAAATGTGGCTTTTCTCGTGGCCAACGGGCTCACCACGAGAGGGTCCGGGCATCCCCGCGCCGGACGGAGTGAGAACAGAGACACAGAGTCAAATTCTCCTCGGGGTGAGTGAGCCCCGAGCTAGCTCGAGACAAACCTTTTATTGAGGTTTGTTAGGGGTGAGTTTCAAAAGTATCAGAAGGCAAACATATGATCCTGATTTAACCACTCATAATTTGACACATTGGGTCGGATATACATATATGGCAAGTGTGTTTACAAGCATAGCTAAGTCTATATGTGCAAAGTAGTTTTTTCTATCATGTCCGGATTTATCCGGACAGGCTCTGTGGTTAGCTTTTCTGAGCAGTTTGCTATAGAG